ACAAACAAAAAGCATTTCAATGGGAATGAGGAGGAGGGCAGAGTGGAGAGCCAAAGCCCATCAGTTGTCAATTGTACACCCCGTCAGAAGGGCCACAAGGAAGAGAAGAGCCAGTCGGGGTGCAGTATAGCACCGAGGAAACACAACCTTCCTCTAGTTCTTTAATGCTTCCCACCCCCACTACCATGACCCCAATTCTACCTTACATATCCGACTAGACCAGAATATGTATGCTGGTACAGATAAGAGCTTGCACACAGGGAACCCAGAGCAGATAAACCCCTCAGGATCAATAAGAGTTGCAGCAATACTAGGAGGGTAAGGTAAGGGGGGAAGGCAAGGGGGAACGGATCACAATGATCAACACATATGGTCCCCCTCCCAGGGGGATGGACAGCAAGTGGGTGAAATGAGACAAGGTAGGTGTAAGATATGGGAGGGCGGGGGACGGGAAGGAAGAATTCATAAATTCTCAAGGGAACTTGGGGGAGAGAGGGTCAGGAAGGTAGGGAGGGGGGCGGGCAGGAAATGAGGAGCTGATGCCAGAGGCTCAAGTAGAAAGAAAATGCTTTGAAAAAGATGCTAACAATATATGTACAGATGTGTTTGACACAATGGATATATGTATGGATTGTGATAAGAGTTGTAAGAGCCCCTGACGCGGATGCTCCCAGGAGGTCACTCTCCCTGGGCTCTGTCCAGGTGGCACAAAGGAGCACAGGGCTCAGTGCCCTGTGACATGCAGTCCTTTTCCACAACTTTGGAGATGAAGCTGGGCCTGGAGCCTGCGTATTCCTACAGCTCCTCAGAGTCCTGTGGACCATGACAGGAGACAAACCATGCAGGACACAGCCCTCTGATGCACCCCTCTGAGCCTAGGTTCTCTTCCATGATGAGTTAGTTAGATTTGTTGTCTACTCTTTTTTTTGCAGAATGCTCCAAATTTCAGGCTATTGAGGGCAATCTCAAATCTACGACTATATTCATAAGGAGGAAAAGAAAAGAACCCCCTCAGTTGAGCCTTTGTTTTTAAATCCATTTTTGATCGGGTGAGTTGAATACTTCATACAATAAAATTTAAATTCCTCTAAAAAAAAAAAAAGAGTTGTAAGAGCCCCAATTTAAAAAAAGAAAAGAAAGATAAAAAGAAAAAGTTCCATGGTGGCTTTAGGTAAAGTGCTTTCCACAAACCTACTGCTCAGAATTTAAGCTCTAATACACAAGCACTCCGTCAGTCCATCTCGTCCAGGGGTCTCCCTCTTTTTTGCTGACCTGCTTTACCAAGCATGATGTAGTTTTCCAGGGACTGGTCCCTTTTGATAACATGTGAGAAGGACGGGAGCCAAAGTTTTGCCATCCTCACATCTAAAGAGCATTCTACTCATCCTTCCTTCAAAGCAGATTTATTCGTTCGGCTTCCTTTGTAACGCTTAGTCTGTCCTGTTCCAGGCACGGAAGAGCCGTTGTTGCTATAAGGATACAGGGCTACCGCGAAGCGCCAGAGAGAAAGAAGCCCAGCGCTGGAGGGCTGCCCACCTCGTGAGGGCGGGGCGGCTGGGATGCGATGGCAGGTGGGGGAGGGGGGACGCGGAGGTCGCGTCCCTGTGGGCCGCAGGCCCGCTCATTGGCCTGCTGGGAGCAATGGGTGGAGGAACACGCGAAAGGGAGTGGGACGTGGATTGGAGGAAAGAGCGCTTTGAGACCGCCCTACAGGGCGTGCCTTATGTAGATGAGGCAGCGCAGTGGCTGCTGGCTCCGCAGGTGCTGCTAAAACACGTGTTGATTTTCCGGGGTGTGGGAAGGAGTGGAGGGCAGTCGCTCAGGCTGTGTATCAGGAGAGGGAAGAAGGGCTAAGCGGGCTCTGGAAGGAGGGTGTGAGTAAATGTCCGTGTGTGTAAAGTGCAGTGCGCGTGAGGGCGTGCCGGGCGTGTGGCACAGCAACTCATACTTACCTGGCAGGGGAGATACCATGATCACGAAGGTGGTTTTCCCAGGGCGAGGCTTATCCATTGCACTCCGGATGTGCTGACCCCTGCGATTTCCCCAAATGTGGGAAACTCGACTGCATAATTTGTGGTAGTGGGGGACTGCGTTCGCGCTCTCCCCTGATCTTACGGTTTCTAAAAGCAGATTTGTCAGTTCAGTTGGCACTTTTGTCGTAGTCAGGCCTATCGTGTCAGGTTTTGCGAGAGTAGTGTTGGCTTTTGCGGCCGGTGCAGCTGACTGAAAAACATGACATACATACAGCATGTCTGCGTTTTCTTGATTTCAGTCCGTACCGGTACATTGTAACCCAAACGTGTGTACTGTATTCAAGAGATTTTTCTAGGGAGCTGGACGGTCTTGTGCTCTGTTTGTTTGACTAGAGTGCCTCCTGCCGTTGGGCAGCTAGTTTTTAGTTTCAAACATAACGTGATCTTTGCCGTGTCTGAGTCGGTTTTTTCCATGTCTGAGTCCGCTGTTGCGGCTACGGAGGGTTTCCTTCCTTTTTCTTGTTAACCCTAGACTGAATTTTAGGCTGGGGTTCCACTAGTAAGTTGGCGAGTAATTGCCAAGATTTCTTTTCAAAATCTGTGGCCATGGTGCAAGTAATTCTGGAGCTGGCTCAGGAGAAGGATCTTTGTTAGTTTCAAAGATCAAGTGCCCTAGTTGAAACACGTTAGAGTTATGGCATCGTGCTTGACAAAGTGTGAAAAAGCAGGAGGCCCTCAATGAGATGGATTGACACAGTTGGCTCATGGCCAGTTGTGAGGATGGATGGCACAGGACGGGGGAGAGTGCTTTGCTCTGTTGTGCGTAGGTTCGTTATGGGCTGGACAAGTTGGTGTCCCATTCTTTGGGGTTGTGCTGTTTCACGAATGTTAGTGTTTCTTGTGGTAGTTGTGGGTGGGCAAGATCTGTGTTTCCCAACCCTGATCTTATGATTTCAGAGTAGATATTTGCGACTCTTTCCAATAGCATGTGCATTTCATTATATCTGTTATTTAACAGGTTTTTCAACCAAGTTTTTTTTTTATGTTGAGTTAGTTGTTTTGTGGCTTGTTTAAATAAAATTTACTTACCAGTGCTGTTGTGTGAGAACACTACTTTGCTTGAAACATGTTAAAGTTTATATCATTTTTAGATGAAACTGTCAGGGAGCGTTCATCCGTTCCAAACCTTAATGTACAAAGGATACTTTGTCAGTTGTAGTTACTCTAAGTTACCGGCGTGAGGCTGCAGAGAAAATTCAGCAATATGTGTGAACTGTGACAGTTTTTCATAATCTGCCCTTCTGCCATTCCCTGCTCTTTCCAGAATGTAAAGGATTATCATAGCAAGTTTTAGCCTGTATTCAAAGTATTCAGAAACACAAGTTCTGGTAAATGTATTTTCAGTGTAGGTAAATAGTCCCTTACATATTAAGCATCTTAAAGTGTGTATACACTTCCTCTCTTCTCACTCCTTTTCTTTGAACTGTATATTTAACTTTCTAATACAAATATAGCAAAAACATGGTTTTCAAATACCATGAAATAGCCCTTCCCACCCAAAACAGAAAATATATCTTTGAGAATATTTTTGTTTTGCTTTTTCCCCTTTTGGTACCAGGCACTTTAAAACTGAGATTTTAAAAAATGTTAATTAGGAAATATGTTAATTGGTAGGGAGATACAAGAAAAATGCTGGTTAATATATACACAAATAGTTCTACCTCTCTTGGGGCTGCTTGTAAGCTAGCTTGCTGTCAACCTGGCACCTGTGTTGTGAAGCGGGGGAGCTGAGAAGCTGATGCTGACCTTGGCTAAAGGAGGCAAGCCCGAAGTGTGAGAAAGTAAATGTGATTGATTGTTAAAGCCACCCACTTGTATTTCTTTATAGCAAGCCTCAATAATTCAGACAGGGTCCCTGCATTCTATAATACTCTTCTTCCTCTTAGTTGTGTGATAGCAAGTCCCACCCATGTGTCAGGCAGAAGCGGGAGTTAACAGGGCAGGCAAGTAAAGAGATGCCCGGAGCTGATGAAAATACTTCAAGGACACTGGGAGAGGCCAGGCCTCCCCACCCACTGCCCAGGTGCAGAAGGATAACTGTTACAGAACTTTGAACACTGTTGCCTAGCCCCAGATCTGCAGACAACAAAGTTGCAGTGGAAAATTCCACCCAGGTCATAAAACTCCTCACCTCCCTTCTGGGCTGGGAGACTTCTTTGGCCCCCGATTAGGGACCTGTGAGCCTCGCCCAGGAGCTCAGAAACAAACCTTTGAAATGGTGTTCTGCCTTTGCTTGCTTTCTTTCCGTTGCCAAATTTACCTTACACCAAGCCCACCTAATTGTCCTCCAGGCTCCTGTGTTTGTGTTTCCCAGGTCACTGTCTCCTAAAATTGTAGCCGGCAGGTCAAGTCCATTGCCTTAACCACTTGGCCACGACTACTCAGTAGAGTAAGGCTGGTTTCCCCCTTAATAAACCAAAAATCAATGCTCATGGAAGCAGCAGCCACGAGAGAAAAGACACATTGCATTAGGGAAGTCTGCTGTACAAGACTTCTTTGGGAGGGTTAGGGCTAGGGTTGAAAAAAGAGAGAGAGAGACTTCTTTGGGGTGTTGAAAAGCAGAGATGTTACTAGGGTGTGCCTGACCCAAGCCATGGTATTTTCTGTTACCTCCTATTCTTGTGAAAGTTGAGCCCTGAATAAGTAGACTGAAGAAGAGCTGCGCTTGAATTGTGATACTGGAGGAGAATATTGATAGGACCATGGACTGCTAAAAGGCAAGACGGGTCTATGTTGGAAGAAGTATGGCCAGAGTGCCCCTTCGAGGCAAGGGTGACAAGACTTTGTCTTAGGTACTTTGGACATGTTCCCTGAAAAAGGACATCGGGCTCGGTAAAGCGGAGGGACAGAGAAGAAGAGGGCCCTCCCCATGGCTGCAGCGATGAGCTCAAGCATAGGAGCAATTGTGAGGATGATGAAGTGTTTCGTTCTATTGTACGTAAAGTTGAGATGGGTAGGAGCCAACACGATGGCATCTCACAACAACAAACCAAAACTCACTACCATCGAATCATTGCTGACTCATAACGACCCTATAGCACAAGACCCTGTAGAACTGCCCCTGTGGGCTGCCGAGTTTGGAATTCTCTATGGGATAGCAAGCCCAGTCTTTCTTCTTGTTCCCCTTTAATGGTGAGCATTAATCCGATCAGTCAGTAAAATAAACCCACCTTTTATCGATTGAGTCCCAGTCAGGAAGTGCAGAAAGTGGCCAGGTGGCAGTGTACCATTATGATATCTCCTGGTCTCATTCTTCTTTTGGGAACTAAGATACTTAAATCAGGAAAGGTCAGAGTTCAATGGGGTAAGAAGCAAACGGGTTACTAATGTATCACTAACGGTAATAGAATAGCCACTCCATTGATTTGTGAACCTGAGAGGAACATCACCATAGACCCGGTCCTGATCTTGAGCATATACTACATCCTGTGGGATATTCCCAAGATCCTCACGGTTTTGTCACCCACTGGCACTGAAACAGAATCTTCAAAAGTGTCATTCCATCACTCTAGTCCCTTCAGGGTAAAACCACGAGTTTAGTGAAACTCAAATTAATTCTTGATCAGAAGCAGTGCTGTGCGCATTCCATAATGTGAGAGAAAGCGTTCTGTAAGCCGCACACAGAGCGTTGTTCAGACAGCTTTTGCAGGGTCGGTGCACGTATGGAGGAGAATCTATATCAAGAGCGTCTATTCCAGTGAGGACAAGCAGGATCTTCCCACTGCTCAGCCATCAGGAGTTCAGAGCTCTCCGTTGTGAGCTGTTTGGGCACCTGAAGGGGCTGTGGCCCAATTCCTCTTGCTGAATGGGTGTCACAAATA